AGTGCACTTCAGTCAGCAGAAAATGAACCAGAGCTAAGTATTCAATATTGGATTTTCCTCAAGTCTAAACAAAGTTATTTGGCTGCAGGTGATAAGAACTACAAAGTTTCAGTGCTACCAAAGGAGTTTTTTTCTCTAGGGTCATTGCCAGTTTCACCAACTAGCCTGAACTGCTGCAGGAGGGTTTCCATCTCTGACATGGGCACAAAGTGGGCATATGGTACTTTTGTAAGTACTGGGTATTTGCTGCAGTTTCTAGAACTTCAGACATATATGTACTCTTCTCAGTTGCAATACTTAGAGTTCGTAAGACCCAGTGAGAAATCAGAGCCTATTCTGTGTGCTTTATAAACGTAGCAAAAGGGAAACCAGCCCTTGTCGTAGGGAGTCCACAAGCTTTTACTATAGTTAGCTAAAAAAAGAAGGAAGAAACAAATGAAAGAAAAGAGGGTGATAAAAGGACAAGGTTTCAGGAAAGACAAACAGAGTGTGGGTGTGGAGCAGTAATTTCGGCTCATTACTCAGTTATACTCTAGAATTGTTAACTCTTATCAGCCCACCACCTCTTGTTTTTAAGGTAAGGGTCAATCTCAGGATTACTTCAATGAATGCATGTTTAGGCCTGCTGTTTGCTAAGGCTTAAAAGCTAAATCGAAGATTGACTTGAAAGCTGATCATCAATGTGCCAGGCAGAAAGCTTTCTGTTGCACTGCTAGGTTTCAATTCTTGGACAGAAAAAACTGTAAACTCACTTTGAGGAACTTAGCATAGCTGTCTGTGCAAAACCTTTTTTTTTTTCATCTCACAGAGAACAGGAGTCAAACAAACCACGTTATATACATTCCAGTCTCATAACACTGAAAAAGACTGTAAGTCTTTTAGAGAATCTGGCAAATAACAGCTGTTGCCACTGAAGTTATAAACTCTAGCTATGTAAAAACCTGCCAAAATATTAATTTTTAAATACATACACTTTTATGCCTTATGTTGACATCTCAGCTTTTTTATCAGAATATGGGTTTCTCCTCTTTTGGCTCTGAGGGGCACATGTAGTGATACGCATTATTAAGCACAACTTGTATTTCTAACAGAATTTAAACTAAGGAAGGCAGATAAACAAATTTAGGCAGGAATAGTCTGGTTGGCTGAAATTTTAATCATATAACTTAATTCCAGTGGATGTAGACAATGCTGCAACAGCCAGTAATTCTGTATTCTGCAAGGGTGAGCTCCACAGTTGCCTTCTTATCTTTGAAGATCTTCTACATTTCTGTCAGGATAGGATACACAAGAACGATTAAGGAAGACTCCAGGTAGAATTCTAGGAAGCAGAAGAGGCAGCAGGATGCTATAAAGATAAGGGTTTTATTTTGTTTCTTTTCAATTTACTTACTCCATTCAAGACCTGACTACTATGGAATTTGCTAGGATATAAAAAGGAAAATAAAGTCCGTAAAGGAAAATAAAGTCAGGAAAAATAAGTGTGGACATACTGTAAGCAGAAATTGACTATTTAGACTTATATTGACTTCATATATTCATAGGTCTTTGGATCTCAGATGGTGAGTAACGATACCTATATAGCACTTGAACACACAGAACCCCAGTCTGGATCGTCAAAGGAAGCATCAGAGCACTTCAAAGAAAATAATTGGTTGCATCCTACCCTCCTATTTCAATGATGGAAGGCCTCTGAAACCGTAGGTCACTCTGCTAAAGCTTATTACTAGGTCTTAGAGATCCTGCCTGCTGAGTCTCATTTTGGAACCTAGACCTTCTTTTTAGTTCTGAACTGACTGAGTTCTGCAAGGTCTTTCATCTCAGCACAGATCCACACAGAGGCTTTTAGGGGAGCAACCCTTCAAATCACTGATCTTTGAGTCCTTGCTGAGGACTGATTGAGGGCCCAGCAGTCCAACACATAAAGTGTGCAACTTCCTGAATTTTTCAGACTTCTGATAATTCAGAGTTCACATAAAACAATAACTATCTGCAATGACCATGAATTCCCTGACTCAAAGCTTTTATTGTTATGGAACTATACAATTCTTCCTTTTATGTGAAACCAAAAGCAGCAGCAAGAAGACTTTTCAACAGTGGACACACCTTTAAAATGCAACACACAAAGCTTCAAAACGAACAAGTATTTAGCAATTATCCTAAGACTTCCTTATGTAGTCAGCAGACAATGTTCCTCTTGGTTAATGTATTTTGCAGTGGATCTCTGTGTTGAAACCATGTCAGTGGACGTCTGTTACCCAGTATAATTCAATAGCAGTAGAACAAAGATCCAATAAACTGTCAACAGCCACAGTCCTTGAGTAGCCCAGAAAACACCAATCTTGCTTGCCAGAAACAGTGAGCAGTAGTGTGGAGAGGCCTTTTGACTTTGACAACAGTTATCAGGAAAATTTGAGGACAGAGATCAGAAAAGTTGAGGAGCTGGAGGATTTCACTGTTGGCTCATAAACACAGCTGAACCTTGTCTTCCCCTAACATTTGCTATCTCCAGAGCAGCTGCTCCTGAGCCAGAGAGGAAATCTAGTACAGATGCAATTATGGCTTACTGAGTGATCTGACAAAGTGACCCTGAACCGTGCTCTGCAGATTGTGTTTTCGCTGACACTGTGTTGTGTCATGAAATCTTTACTACTCAGCCAAGCTGGCTCCAGCCCTTTCTCTGCTGCCCCTGATGCTACCATCAGTGGAGCTGCACTAGCGTTTGAGCAGTGCAGATATGTCTTCGGGGACTGCTAGCATCATAGCTGCCCCACTGCTAACCTTGCTCTGAGCAAATCTACACAGCATGGCACTGATAACTGTGGCAGCTGTCTCAATTACGATCAGTATGTATAGGATGGTAGCGTTGAGAAGTGAATACACTAGGTCAGGCATTGTACAAACATACAGTAAATGACTGTGCAGCTTAAATAAGCAGAGAAAGGATGTAATAAATCCTCACTTAATGGGTGGAGGAGAGAAGCACAGAAATTCAGCGATTTACCTCAGGTTACAGAAAGATGCATAGACCGCAAACATTGCAGATTACCACAATCCTTGTCCCCAGCTTTAAATGCAGGACAATTTTTCATCGTCTTTCCTCACGCAATCTTAAAAAAGATCACCTGAGGCTTTGGATTCATTGAAAGCTTGTAATTGTGCCTTCTAAGTTCAACAACTGATTTAAAAAAAAAGAAGAAAGTGTTAAAAGATAATTAGCCGCACACACTTTAGCTTATAGTACGTTTTAGCCTTTATCTTCAAGCAGTTAGGAGAACTACACATTGTGCAGGACTGCACTTGGAGCAAGAAGGGAGTTTATAGGTAGGATATTTAGGTGGCGGGTGCTGGAGTATGTCTGTGAATGCCAGGATGGAACAAAGTGTGGCATCAGAAGCTGTGTGAGATATCTATTGTTGACTGGGAATATCTAGGAAGAACATAGGGGATTGTTGGAATAGGCTTCTTGATGTCTTGGTGATAAGACATCATTGCCACTCTTCTTTCTTCTCCCTGATGTAACAACTGGCTTCTCCCTGAAGTCCAGTAGGAGACCACCTAATGAATGAAAGGAAGAACAGTAGTCTTTGACACCAGCAAAGAACTATAGCCTTGCTCATACTTCATCTGATTAAATGTGGAATCAGCCATACTGCTATGCTCGTTACAAGAAATTTGTGGCATTCTGAACCACCTCTGTACAAGTCTGAGCCCAGAGGGAAATGTGCATTAGGTTCCTCCTAGGAATCAGGATTGTTGCTATAACTGCTTCTAGTATAGGAAGACATCAGATAACATAAAGCATGGCTGACTGGTAGGTAAGTGAGGTTAGAATCACCTGACCACGCTCAGCCTTGAAAATAGTATTTTCAGCACCTATGAAATCACATTCATTATACCTGTAAAATCCTTTAAAGAGTGACTTAGAGAGTTTCTTCTAGCATTAGTCAAGATATTTTGTTCATTACTGTTAAAGCAAATGGCCCTGTCTGGGCTTTGCTGTAGGATACAGTTCAGGTTCTTCCAGCCTCGCTGCTTGGTTTCCCAATACATTTATTCCTAAAGAAACATGCATACCTTCATAGGCCCCGCTTACCCCAGTTAATTTTCTGAAGCATCTGCCTGTTTTCTGAGTTAATGCTGCATTTGTAATCATCATCTAGCACCTTAGAGCTATTAGAAGAAAAAAGTTGTAATTCATAGCTTTAGATACCTAGAGTTTGATATCTACAAGTTACTAAGTACTAAGGAACAGGAACAAAGATCCCTTTGCCCTACTTAAGGATTTGTTGCTCTTAGGAGTTACATGTATATACAACTCTCCCTTGCTTGCTACAGGAGAGAAATATGTACGTGTGTGTGTGTGTGTGTCTGTGTGTCTGTGTGTCTGTGTGTGTGTACTGCATACATATCTGTATCTATATAGATAAGAAAAATAAGCATCCTCGCTGGCAAGTAAAACCAAGAACAATGTTGCTAGTAGCTACTGTGCTTAAACATAGTTGAAAACATTGTTCAGTGATGAGCTCTCAGTGATCTTCTCAGTGTTAATAATCAATGTGCCAGGAAAATATATTGTAACACCAAAACATCCAGGCCAGGACACCACAAAAGCTTCTCTATCCGTTGTCAGGGAACAAAAAACAGCTTTCACAATGTTGCAGAATATGCTAACCTAACCCCATAAGGACCGCAGCGCTAACAGGTTCTGGAATACAGTTAAAACATTTATGTATAAGGAAGGCAAATCTTGTTATGATATGGTAAGGGAGCTAATATAATCATTATTTTTTAAAAATAAGTAAATATATATACATGTTCATATGTCAAAGAATACCATCAGATAATTACATCTTTTTCAGCGACTCGATAGAACACACGAGCTGAGTAACTGAAAAGTTCCTCAATGTGCTCCTTCCAGCAGGCAAAGGATATCTTTTCTAGTCTCACAAATAAAAGCAAGACCCATCCTTTAAAATAAACATACACCAATTTCCTCCTATTTTATAAAATAATCATTCCTATAGTCAATCATTTATGCAAACAGAAAATTATAAAGCCAAAGAATTTGACAACAATGTTAGTTTTTCTTAAAGATGAAATTATATGCTAATAAGCACCCACTTCTTTAGCGTTCACATAGATTTGTAATTTTTAAGTTGCTTGGAAGAGTTAAGTCTCCGGTGGCTAAAATGGCATCACAGTAAAATATTAAGTGCATTGCTCATCTAAAAGGGAAGGCATCTCTGTTTTTTTAGCAAGTTTTGGCAGACATCTGTGGAAGCACTGAATAACAATATGTCAGAAATAGGTAGAGGTAGGAAGATAAGCTCTGCAAATAAAATACTGTTTTGTAATTTTATTTTAAATGAAATGACATCCAAATACAGCTCAATTATTTAGTAGAGTTTTAAATAAATGTTTAAAGCTAACAAACTTCCAGAATTAATCTAATGGAGTCTCAGTTCTTGTTTTCAATGATATTGATTATGAGCTCAGGCTAAATTCACTCTTTTGCATTACTCAGATTCAAAATCACAATTAATCAGGTTAACAAAATACAAAAAAAGTCTAAAATTTGATTTTCCAAATTAACTTATAAGTACAAAAAACAATTAAAATGCCTTCATTAAAAAGGCACGTTAACATGATTGACAGCTGTACAAATTCTTTTCTAAAGCAAGCATTATATGATAAGTGTTCAAAGCAATGTTAAAGATTCGAAGCAGAATTTTTCTCACTGCCTTTAAAGAGACTTGTGTGGCTAAACTACAAATAAAAAACAGTTTGAAAGTCTACTCTTACGTTCACCAGAATAAAAATAATCCAAAATAATTGTGTCTGAGAGAAAGAGAGGGCAATATTCTATGGCGTGTACTCAGACTCCAGATTGCCAGGATGTGGAATGCTACTGAAACAGAAAGGGGTTGAGGTACTTGATATATGTCCAAGACCTGTATAGAAAACGAGTATAAACACATCCTGTACCTGACAATGTGAGCAATCTATAAGCTGGAAAGGAACTGAGCACTGCAGAGTAAGGCAACCAAGCTTCATTGCAATCCAGGGAAGGCAGAGTAAGTATTTTAAGGGGTGTTACTTCTGCTACCATTTAAAAGCAGCAAGGGATTAGAATAAGTTTAAGAGCTGTGGTTAAGAGGCACGAAACTGGAGGCTGGTTCACAATGAGGAGTCTTAACAAATCTAAAGATCTGAAGAAAACCATTACCGCAGTCTCTCGCAAAAACCTTTGTTGTCATCATACTCTTGCAATCATACAGTCTTAAGCTCAAAATGCGTCTACTTACTAGACCAAGTATAGCAAACAAACACGATAAACATAGCTTTGTCAAAATACCCACCCCGTATTTGCCCCTTGCAAGACAAAGCTCCCACTCTGGATTAAGCATCCTTTGAAATTTTATGTAAGTGAGTGTGAGTATTTTGGCCTATTAAGTCAGTCATGGGCCAGTCCTGCCCTTGCAACAGATGTAGAACTAGTACTTCATTGGGCCAAATTTTGTGTAAAATTATGCTGACCTTAATCTAAAATAATTAATTTGGCATTAGTTTGGATTTTTAAATGAAGGCACACTTTGTTCCATTTTAGCACATAAAAGTTAAAATAAACTGATCTACAGCATTTGTTTGAAGAAGTCATAAAATAACCGAAGTATTGGTACTGCTTTGCATATTTACTACATGAAAAGCCCCACCCAGCCCACTTGACATGGTTACCATTATCATTTAGCCTTCCCCGTACTGAGAATTTCTAGGTTATTCATAGAAATATATCAAAGCTGAAGAAAGAGGAACAACAGATACATCATAGCATTTCATAAGCTTATGCATAAAAATACTAGAAACTAGCTGTGCTCTGCTCATTCTTTGGCTTGAAGCTGAGGCATTCTTGGATTGATCAATTTTTCCATTTATTTGAATCCCAGGCCAGGAACCAGCCTGTGAATATAGGGGGTTCGTATCCTTGCTTCACAACAACAATGGGGGTCCCCTTATCTCTTCCAGAAGGATCTGTTTCAATATAGCGCTTGGCTAAAAAGAAAGAGGAAATAAAACATTTAAAATATTAGTTCATTCTTTTGGTATAAAAAATACACTAAAAGCCCTCGTAAAAGAACTCAGGGCTATTATAATAAAGTATTCAATTAAACTATTTCAAAAGCAATGAAATGATCAAGTAATTGCTGATTGCTCCCAGCTGCCAATGAAGCAATTTTCCCAAGATTAAAACCGAGTGATTGTTACTCTGATCATTTCTTTCCCATAGAGCAGTGCTTTGGCTCTGGAGCAGGAGAAAGCAATTGCTGGTACTGTGCAAACGCACAAGCTTCGTTCCCATTTCTCCCATGTGAGAGCCTCATGGCTGCATTCAGTATTGTTCCCCTCGACATCACAATGTGACATCAGCACATATCAGAAAAGGAACTAGGTAACCTTAGCTGTACTAGGGAAATGTCTGCAAGCATTTTTAGCAAGAACTTTGTCATGACAATTCAGCTTTGTGAAATCACACCTGAGATGACACATGATTTTTTCAAAGAAAGAGGTGCATTCCAAATAAGTTGTCTTGATTTGTTCTGGGATAGGAATTTCTTCTGCCAAATCTAGCTAAGTAAAGGGTAGCAATGTAAGGACTTGAAGATTTATCAGCGTTCCTTTGACTATAAACATTAGTGTAGGGTACAGCTCAGTAAACACCTCCATTTGAAATTCCTACTCTTTTTAAGTGCAGATTCTTTTCATGGAGCTCTCCTATATACTCTCTAAAAAGCTCTACAGCCTAGTAATGCTATGTAGATTAATTTTACTCTTCATAAATTTACAGATAAGAAACACAGAATGAGTTTTAAATCACATTTAAAGGAGAAAATAATATTCTCCAGGGTTAAATCCTAGTAAGCTCAATAACCCTTTTAAACAGCACTGTAAACATAACTATTTTTTTTCTGAATCATCTTTTTCATTCATTTAAGTGCTATTGATGCTACTTCACTCAGAATTATGTCAAATTGATTTTCTTACCAGATTTAACAGATTCCTGTCGCTCAGTTTCATTAGCATCTTTCCCAATCCAGACGAAAACCTGCAAATAAATTGTTATGAGGATTTTTATGTACAGCAGGTAAAATCCAAAATAGTCAATTCCATTAGAAGAAAGAACGTGCACTATGAAAAGAGATCCACAGCTCTCATATACCACCTTTATTTCTTTTCCCTTCCTCTAGTGCTATGCTCTGAAATCTCACTACTCTCTCGACACTGGAAGGCCTGGCTTTAAGCATTCTGATGAAAGGAACTCTAATTACCTTTTCCTTGAATGTGTTTTAGGAGTTGGCAAGGAAATTACTCTTTAGGTGCAGGTAAAAATGCAGAACAGGAGCTGTCCCTGGTTTGAATTCGGTGTAGGCATTAACACTTGTGCACTGTGACAGGTGCTACCCAGGGTAACTGCTACATTCCCCACTGAACAGCCCAACATCCAGAGTCTAAATCAGCAATTTCCACAATTTTTTTCTGTCAAGAATCCTTTTAGAAATCAACTACATTCCTGGGTCTCCTTTCATCCTGAGCCAGGATGTCCCAACCACTTTCCACACATCTCTTAATATTACCTTCCCCCTTCTTGCTTTTGCATATGGACTTGGATATTCCTTCTCCTTTCCAAAAATTTCTGCCTTTTTCCCTTGGGCTGAAGAAGACAAGCAAAAATAGGGGAGCCATGGCCTTCTCCTCCTTTCATTCCAATGAGTGGAGGAAGGGGAGAAGGATTATACAATTAAACAGAGGTGCTCTCTGCACTCCCAGTAAATTTTCCTGTCAGCTGAAAAGCTCTCAACCCTTTTAATTTTCAGTGAACCTGGGAAAATGGCAAAGACAACTTCTGTCATCCTCCACCCAGGTCTTCTGAATAAATCTGAGTAAAGGTCCAGTGTTTGGTCCCTTCTCTGGTAAGTTTTTTCCTGGGTGCTGCTACATTGATTTTGTGGCTTCTGAATAGCATTTATGAAATAACTTTCCTTTCAAAAATTAATGCATTTTAGCGATAAAGTCAGGAACATTATTGTGAGCCTCTCAGAACACTGCTGGGTCTTATACTGTTGCAGTCTTCTTTGGTTTTAATGGGAAGTGCCTGCTGTGATTTCACATTATGCTTGGAAATTCAACCACGTATGTTCACACTAGCACATCATATAGCACAGGAGAAAATATAGCTCCCTCTGATATAATTTAAAGAAAATAAAACCTCTTTCATTCTCATAAACATCACTTTTTCCTGCCGTCTTACATTCTAGGTGACTGTTAAAAATAAATTCGTATTATTATCACAGGAGCCAGTGGTAAAGTACACAGCTTACCTGCTCCCAGGCATCCAGCAACATGACATCATCTTCAGCCAAATCATCCTGAGTGAATTCTCCTGGAACTTCCTCAATCTAAAAGGGATAATTTTTTTTTTTTTAATGATCTGTCAAGATATTCTGATTTTAGAAAGAGTAAAGATTTTTTTTTTTAAGGGATAAGTCCGGAAGGTGCCATGAAATTCTTTTTATTCCTATAGGGTCAGGCCCCAAATTGATTTGATGAATGTGTGAAGGATATTACACTGAGAGGAAACAAATCACATAACTGCATGTCCTATAAAATCAACTCTCAATTTGTCAGAGTTGATAGGATATCCTGAGGAGAAGCATAGGTTTATATTGTAATTGTGATTGTTGTAAATTGGGACCAAGGGCTGCCAGAAGAAAGGGACAGAAATTTCCATAGAGTGACTTATACCAAACTAACTAAATCAATCTTAAAGCAGGTATATTCATACATGTTAGATTTATTAATAAGGAAAAGAAACTACTTGTATTTGCAATGGATGAGCTCAGGGATGAAGTATGTGTCCAAGCAAACCTTTCACTGCCTTGAAAATGGGACACACTACTTTACTAAGCCATTGAGGATTGGTCCCCAAAGAAAACACATCTTCCAATCATTTATAGTTAAGTAGGAAAGCAGTTTAATCTTCTTCTGTATCAGCAAGAGAGATAATAGTTTAGCTAGTGGTCAGCCTGTTACTTTTAAAGGGTTGGGCTATGCTTGCTCATGTAGGAGTGCTAAAGGGCCTGGAAGCAGATGGTGCAAAAGACGTGTTCCTTTCCCCACTCCCCTGGCATTGTTAAGATGACCAGAAGCTCAGAGTGATCTGACCTGCTTATTCTTCAGGTGCTCAGGTGAGCTCTAAAAATGATGGTTCGGTTACTAGGGAGATCCTAGGGGAGACAGGAGATTTCACAGAATTTGGAGGGAATTTGAAACAAAAACAACAACCAAAAAAAAAACAGTTCATAGCTCCCAGCAGACTATTATAGAGAAGTTGTTTCCTATTATTGTATTTTACAGGAGTGTTTTAGAAGCTTGCTTGAGGAATACACTTCTCTACTACTCTCATAAGATTTTAGAGTCCTTATTAAAGGACCCCGTTGGTTTTATCCTTCTCCAAATGAATGGGCCATTCCTTAAGGAAACCGCAGAAATGGTAGCCAGCTATGTTTCCTACCTAAGGACTGGGGCATCCTTGCCAAACAGTGTCACAGTCTTGCCTTCCCGGAATGCAATAAGCAATTAAGTTTAATTCACTCACACAGCTCTGGCTATTTCTGCTAAGGAAATAAGTCTTCCTACCCCCTTGATCACAGGCCTGTACCTTGGAGGCATAATTACTGGCCTTAAGTCTTTATGGAAAATTTCAGACTGCTAGCGATTTCTGGCAAGGGCTCAGGAGGCATTTCTTTTCCTCACTACGACTATCAAACATGTAGGGAGCAAGGCATTGACCTGCACTTTCTCAAAGAAATGATAGCAGTCTGGCAATGCTCTGCAAGAACGCAATTCTTTTTGACTGGGAAAGGGCCTTGCCTTTTTGCATCTGCAAGCTTATAGTCCCATGCTGGAACAGATTCTCCCTCTAACATCTCCAGTATTTATTCTTCTGTCTGTTCTTTGCACTTGGATTGTTTCAGAGCACCAAGCCTTAACTCTCTAGCTCTTGCCAAGCACTGCTAACCACACAAAGTAAAGCCAGATCCCCAAAATCATTTAATGTCTGTTAATTCCTAAGCTAAAATATACCAGAAACTGGTATATTCACTGGTATATTAAACAGAAAGGAAAGTACCCATTATATACTTACAATAAATCTGCCAGTCTTATTAGAACAGCCATATAGACGAGGTGGATGCGTTTCGGCCTTTGTCAAGAGCTGTGATGAGGTCTGATATGGTTTTTTACCTCCAAGTGTTTTCCAGAATTCCTCTGAAATACGCAATATATAGTACATTCAGCAGTAGATTTCACATTTTACGCTTTAGTTGTTAGACAGTGTTGCAAGAATCCCCAAACAATGACTTCTTTGCTGTCTCAAAGATGAGTGCATTTTCGTACAGTTCTTCCCGCAGTTTGTCAATAACAAAAAAGATATCACATGTGGACCTAGAGCAATACTTGCTCCCCTTCTAGTCACTCGAGATTAAAAAAAAGAACCACATTCCACAGCAGTTCCTGCTACAGCCCCACAGACTTCCAGGGGATTGCACTAGTTGTGCATCAGCCAATTCTGGACAGATCTTCACGGTAAAATCTCAGCTTAGATTTTCAAAGGGAGAGAGTGAACATATGGATTCGCCTACAACCTACATGATTGCAAAAAGCATTTAGGCCTCATTTCCATAGAGCACTGTGTATTCTCAGCTGCCTATTAGCAACCACGTGGCCTCATACTAACCCGGTTCCTGGCCTTCATTAATCTTCTTAGCCTGGCATTTGAGAACACTGGCAATGTATTGAGCGCCTTGTTCCTCTTCTTTGTTTGCCCCTTTTCCTACCCAGGTGTAGCCAGAGTTGTTTGGCAGTTTCAGAACAAAGACGTCGTTGGAGTTCAGGGACGTTGCGTCAACGTCAACCTAAATCAAGAATGAGGTTATTTTATTCTTCATATTTTCAAACAATGTGATCTCTATTTTGCACGCTTATATAAAATATGTAGATAGATGCTAATTGGCTGTGCTTTTTCTGTAGTTTTCCCCTAGATTTATACTGTTATAAAGTAAAGATTTAACCTGAAACAGAGAACTGACTGGAAGGACAGAACTTGGGACTATCTGGAAATAGGAATGACTGTCCCATAAGGGTTGCTGATTTTTCATCTATTCATTGTCAGCTGATTGTCCACTAAGCATTTTCCTACAGTTTTCTCTGAAACATAGATTGGCTGCAGTCAGCTACAGCATATGCACTTGACTTTATTAGATAGGTAAGGCATACAGAGCAGTTGATTTGACCTGGAATTCTATGTTCCTACCAGACGTTGACTACCTGAAAGCATTAATTGGAGGGGAAGAAGGTTTAGGGGCAGCTATACCGTTATCCAAGCGAATATTTGTTTTTACTTAGCAGGTGACCTTACCTCCACAATCCTGGTAGTGGGTGTCAGGTTCCTGCGGATTTGGAAGAGTCGTGTTGGGGGAGCAGGTTTCTGTCCTTCCTTCTTTGATGTCCCATCCTTGTAGACAATGAGTGGTTTATTTTTGAACAAGCTCAATAAATGTGCAGGCTCTTTGCCTTGGCTGACTCGGATCTGTATATGCATGAAGAAATGCATGAGGAAAAAAAAGACAGTGGAAATTATTTTTGATCTTTATTGAATAGCATAGGGAATGTTAACTGATAATGGTAAGTATGTTAGCAAGAATTAGAAGTAGCAAAATGAGAAGATTTAAGAATACAGTTCCAGAGACATTAAAGTTATAGCATTTCTGAGATTTGTCGTCAATCACACTAACACAAAGACATCATTCAGACTTGTAACATAATGTTTAGCTGATTAAAATGACTGTTATCTACTGTAATAAGAAAATTTTTCTTTTCAAAAGAACTGTCATTTCACGGAGTTTTATAGAGTCACTTAATTCCTCTGAAAAACTAGTTTGGAAGTTCAGGAGCCCAGTATTTAAACAGGAGAAAATGGTTATTCATCATATTCGTTATTTCTGTGTATTTATCTGCAAGAGGATGAATAAGATGAGCATAAATCTGTCGTAGTGGATAACACAGATGACAAAAATGAACTTCCATTACAGATATAAAAGACATTACTGCAGTTTCAAAGAACACTGAACTATGAACATTTGCTATTTTCATTTTGCTATTAATTTTCTATAAAAGTACTATATATCTATTTATTCTTCCCTTCTAACAGTTTCCTCTGTTTTTTTCATTCTGAAGGAAACAAAAAGGTGACAGCTAAAGGCTACATTGTTTACAGTTTTTTTCTTTTCAATTTCCCCTTGCTTTATACAAAGAGAAGTGACTTACATTGTGCATGAGATGAAGGAAAAATGAAGGAGGACAGAAGGGAAAAACTAAGATTAAAAAAAAGAAAGAAAAGGAAGGAAATGGGAAATTGCCTAACAGGAATGTCAGGGAAAGCACCCCTGAAGGCAGAAAACATATATTCCTTTGAGGTGTCCTACTCACTCTCCTTTATGTGCAAGACACATAGGTTAGCTGGCAGTTTCTGGCCACTAACAGGTCTGCTGAATTCAGTCAGAAACTGCAGAGCCTCTTGGTGAGTGCAATCTGCTGCATGTGACACCGAGCCCTCGCTTCCCACCCAGCTCTCCAGCAACTGGGACTCCTTTGGCCCCGCTGCACCAGCCAAGACTAAAGGCTGAGACTCCTGGCTTTTTCTTAGCTGCTCCTAAGTGTTGCTCCCAGAAGGAAATGGAAAAAATGGGTATGAGTGCTTATCCACTAAAGGTAGGCTGGATGATCCTGACCCCAGTCCTGTGTCAGTACTCAGCAGCAGCTGAAAAGCCTCACACTACTCAGCAGTGCCTTCTGGCAGGATGAGAGTCAAGGCAAGGTCGCTGCAGCTTGGTAGGCTGACACATCGGCTCTCTGAGATGCTGGCAAGACTGCGTGTGTTGCACCGGAAAGCTGTGCAACTGAGGATGACTGAGCAATATGATGTTCATGATGCAAAAGCAGATGCTTTGAGTTATCTCATAGCCGCACATACTGATAAAATCACCTGATAAGAATACCCTAGAACATGTACACTTGTAGATGCCAAATAGCAACAACATTTTATAAATGAAAATAAAATAAAATAAAATAAAATAAAATAAACAAGGAAGAAAATGCTGAGGGCAACATCTTTCTGCAAAACAAATATTGAAACTGTTTTTTAAAGTAATTTGTATTGTACTGCCATCTAGTGACTAAATAAATGAGTGCATTTTATAATCTTTCAAATAAGGGTAATATAGATGTTAAATATAGGCAATATATTCTAAGTATTCATGTATATACATATAAATTCACACATGCATATATATGCATATATATATTTGTTTAATCTCATTGCATATTAAAAGAATACTTTTAAGTATTATGTCTACTGCAGTGAGATGGATCTCCTTCAGCTTTAATAAAACATTTTAAGTGTATCATTATTCCAGGTGTTTGTAGTAATATTATTATACTGTAGTATTAGTATTGCCCTTAGGACCATACTGTGCTCAGCTCTGTCCAGATATAGAAAATTTGTTAGGAAAGGACATACAGAAGTCCATAGGCCTTGATGGGATGCACCCACAACTGCTGGGGGAGTTGGCTGAAGGCATTGCGAGGCCACGCTCAATTACCTTTGAAAGGTCAAGGTGATCAGGAGAGGTTCCTGAGGATTGAAAGACAGAATATGTCACCCCTATCTTCAAGAAGGGCAAGAAGGAAGACCTAGGGAACTACAGGTTAGTCAGCCTCACCTTGATCCCTGGGAAGGTGATGGAGCAACTAATCCTGGATACTATTTACAGATATGTGAAAGACTGAAGGTGATTGGGAGCAGTCAGAATGGATTTACAAGGGGAAAATCATGCTTAACCAGTATGATAGCCTATGATGAGATGAGTAGCTTGGTGAATAAAGGGAGAGCCACAGATGTTGTTTACCTCACCTTCATAAGGCTTTTGACACTATCTTCTGTAACATCCTCACAGACAAGCTCATGAAGTGCAGGCTAGTTAAGCTATCAGTGAGGTGGACTGAAAACTGGCTGAACCACCAGGCTGAGAGGGTGGTGATCAGCAGCACACTGGTGAGGGAGACATCTGCAGTGCTGCATCCAGGTCTGGGCTCACCAGGACAAGAAAGGCATGGACATGTTGGAGTGAATTCAGCGAAGAAACAAAGATGATGAAGGGACTGGAGCATCTCTCATACGAGGAGAGGCTGAGAGAGCTGGGACTGTTTTGCGTGGAGAATAGAAGGCTTGGGGGATCTTATTAATGTGAATAAATATCTGATGGAGGAGGGTAAAGAGACAGAGCCAGACTCTTCTCAGTGGTGCCATGTGAGAAGACAAGAGGCAATGAGCACAAACCAAAACACAAGCAATTCCATCTGAACATGAGAAAACACTTCTTCACTATGAGGGTGGCTGAGCACAGGAACAGGTTGCCCAGAGAGGTTTGAAGTCTCCATCCTTGGAGATATTCAAATGTCGTCTGGACACTGTCTGGGCAACCTCCTGTAGCTGACCTTGCTTCAGCAGGGAGGTTGGACTAGATGATCTCCAGAGGTCCCTTTCAACCCCAACTATTCTGTGATTCTGTGAATAGTTTACAGAATAATTACCTGGATGTATTCTAATCCTTCCTTAATATAATTGCAATAATCAATGATAATTGAGTGACAGATAAAAGTTTGGTCTGCCATCTAAATTAAGTGTATCTTAGTGGGTGGGGAAAGCCATTATTTTGATAATTACGGAATGGGAATCACAGAATCACAGAATCACAGACTCGTTTAGGTTGGAAGGGACCTCTGGAGATCATCTAGTCCAACCTCCCTGTTCAAGCAGGGTCACCTAGAGCATATTGCCCAGGATCACATCCAGACGGGTTTTGAATATCTCCAGGGAAGGAGACTCCACCACCTCTCTGGGCAACCTGTTCCAATGCTCTGTCACCCTCACAGTGAAGAAGTTTTTTTCTCAGGTTCAGAAGCAAAGAATTCTTTCCTACTGCCTAGAAAATCTCCTTCTGTCCCTAAGTCATCTTCCTGCTCTAGCTTTTCCATGAAGAGACCTCCCACCTCTCCACCTACCCATCACTCCTTGTTAGTAATCAAGGGAGAGCATCAGAGTCTAGACTAGCCTTGGACCCCTTATCTAGTCACACGTTTTCGTTGCCAATGTCATGTCTTGTCTTGTGCACTACATTTCTGAAAATAAGGATATGTGTCCTGCTTTCTTGGAGGTGAAGGGGCTATGGGATGGGAAAACACAAGGGACAAACCAGACCCTGAGGCACAGTTTTGGCAGGTTCTCCCTTTCAAGCATGTCATGTGGCTTTCATGTCTCTCAATTTTGGCTGTCTAACAGTCAGGCTTGTCTAAGCTAATCATTTCAGCTTCCTACACTATCAAAAGGGGCAGAGACAGAGGAGCTCATACAGGGCTACTGCCCCACCTAATTTAGAGTGAATTGCTCCCAGGAGGTTCTTATCCTTTGGTCTCCACTAACTATACGCAGCATCTGTAAAGTTAGGAAGGGCTAAGCCCCTAATTTTTAGACAGTGAGTAGAAAGAAAAGAAAGGCAGTTTTAGAATGTGAAATACCTATGCTCTTTTAGACATCTACATTGAAATAGGATGATTCAAGTGGGAAATCTCTGTAGACAAAAGGAGCCTGCGGTGCTTAGCTTGATACAGGCTTCTATAGATATCTGCATTTGGCCAGTTACCCAAATAGTCTGCACACATGCAACATATGACTCTGTTTCAGGGGTAAAGAAAAAGAAGAAAATCCTTGACATTATAAAGGATTCTTTTTGACATAAAACAACCTCTACCATGGCAGGTGGGAAAACTAAGGCGCATGGAAGACAAACCCTTTCACAAGGGGCTATGAACAAGTTTCTATTAATTTGAGCAATACTGGGACAAGTCCTCCAAAGAGAAAAGGCTAGCAAGTGAATCTTAAAATGTACCTTGAAGTTAGTCTGCATTAATATGTGAGGAAAATAACGGTGAAGACTATTAATAATAATAGCTAAGGAAAATACAGAACTGTCCAGTTAAGGTTGTAGATACATATATGGTGTTTTGAAAAGAAACTTCGGGTTTCCGAAGATAACTACTTGTTAATGTAAGAAAGACATTACAAGGTAACTATGAGGAGAATACAGTACTAGCAGTATAAAGAAAAGACAATAGCTGCAGAAAATAAATTATTTTTATTCCAAGTGAACTCAGATAGTTTGGTTTTACCTCATAAATGGGTGGATGACAAGATTGTGTGAACATAAGTTTGTTTACTTTGTCTTTTAACAAAGCAGATACATCTGTTTTCTGCAATTAAGCTAAGTGGCGTGGAGTGCTTAAAGATCATTTTCTAAGAAAATTCAACAGTATGGGCACCTGCACAACATGAGCTAGGAGGTAAATTTACAAGGCTCCATGTTAACTTCCATGCCATTAATCTATGGTAAAATGTAAGTAATTTCAGGTAGTCTACCCACTGATGAAAGAAAGTTAAATCTCTTACTACATGGCAAATGCATGCGTAGAAGGAGTTGCCATGAGCAGCTGATACTCCCAATATTAAATGCTACCTCCTCCTTTTCAATTCTTATTATTTTTGCATCGATATTATATCCTTTATTTGTTGAATTTCATCCAAAAGGTACTAACCTGCACAGCCTGATCATTTAATAACCGATCAAGTTGAACAGTCAGAAATGCAGATGCAGTCAATTCATCTTTTGTAGTCTGAGCTCCTTGCCTGAGAAAGACAAGGAGAGAAACAGCAGTCAAAACCTAAAACCAGGTTCAGAATGATCCAGAGCTTTTAGAGAAAAAAAAAAAAAGGAAAGGAAAAAACACGGAAAAAAAGGGGGAAAAGGAAAGGGGAAAGAAAAGGGGAAAATAACACAGAGTAAATCTAATCTTGCCTTTACACATGATTCTGTTGTTTTCTATGGGATATAAGGTCAGCATAAAATAATATCCACATGCTGGAGATCTATGCAAAGCAGACCAAACATACCATGTGTAGATGATCTGCCCTTTAGGGTAAGTATAGAGGATAATGTAGCAGTCACCCCCATAGAACTGTCCATATGTCTCAGGCTCCACAGGAACTCTACCACTGTCTTCCACACGCCAGATCTAAAAAAACAGAGAAATCATTAGAAGATGCTGAACTTCATCCTGAAACTCTGAAAAAAGTAATTTACTGTGTTGTCCCTTGAACAACATTTGGTTTTGTTCCAAAATGTTATGGAATAAAACCAGGAAAGTGTCTTCATGAAGTAGGTGGATACACCCTACACCCACTAACTGAATAAATAGTGATCATCAGCAAGCCAATGTAGAACACTTTTCTTTGTCTCGATTTTATACCACGTGACCATCTCATAATGCCTTTTATTCCACGTGACCATCTCATAATGCCACATTCAACTTCCTTTCTTAACTTCTTAAGATGATAACATGACATGAACGGCACAACATTATGATTCATCATAGAACTATCATATCATATGAGAAAGGTACACTACAGACAGATAACACACTGTTCTGCAGATTTTTTCCTATTTGATGCAGTACAGCCCTATTCAGTTACCAACTGCTCTCCAAAAACAGACTGCTAAAATTATACAAAAAGAATGCTCCAGATCTCAGCTGCTGTGGTCAAATCTAGGGATCATCTGAAACAGCAGGTTAGAATCCTAGCAGATGTGCCAATGAAACTGTAGGTATCGGACCCTGCTCTTTTGCCACCCCAACATGCAGACCAACCTGTCCTGAGCAGGTTGTGCTGGTGCAATGCCAGCCTGGCCCCCTGTAGTGCTGCAATGGGATACTGATAGATTTAGAAACGTACAGTAATGGCTGGAATTGCAGGCTACACATGATGCTACACATCTTTTTCCCTCCAAAACCAGGCTAGCTGAGAGACCCACTAGTGACAGAGAGTTCTGCTAGAAAGCAGATATGATAGATACATGAGGGACATAACGATCCAGAATGAGTTTCTGGCTCCAAGGGCAAGTTTTACCATTCCAGATTTCAGGCTGATGCGAGGTAGAAGGGTTACTTTAGGATAAGGCCATACTTACAGTATTTTTTTTAATGTATTACTTCAAAGGGGAATTATTTCTGGTCTTTGATTTGTACTGATGACTTACTGACCATCTTCCATGAGCATCAGAACATTTCACAAAATGACACGACCCAGCAGACAGAGAGATTAACTTTCCACTTAAAAGTAGCTTTTCTGATGGTAGGACTAACACTACACAACAGTTTAAATTGCAAAATAGAAGAAATTAGGTAGGTGGATTACAATTTAATATAATACAAAAATTACCTCTACTTTCCCTGAACCATCATCTACCATATTATGCTTGGCAGCCATTTGTGGAGACTCATGTAACTTCGTAGCATCAAATTCAATCTGCTCAATTTTAGCCACTCTCTCTGTGACATAAACTTTTCCGAAGCCATCACTTTGATCTTTATCCTTCCAGTCTTTGAAAAACTGTTTGAAGATTGGTGTTTCACCTCCTTCTGGAAGAATTTGAATCTGAAATGAAATAAGACCCATGAAACAGAAGAAAAATAAAACTGATAGTTGCTTGAACTAAAATGTCAAAGAATGGAGTATTCTGGATGATTGATGGTTTATTCTGTAAGTTGTTCGTAATTCAGAGAGCCTGTCAAATGATGTAATTTTTGCAGTCAGTTTACTTCACCTGTAGGTTAAAGTACGGCTGGCCTATCTGGAAATAGCCAAAGAGCCTGTACTTTGCATGAAACAAGTAATACACTGACTACTTAACAGCGAGAAAGATATCATTTGGTTCCTCTTTCTACTGGCTATTTTTCCACTTCTAAACTCACTTAGATATCAAGCCTGTAACAGGCTGGGCCTGGATTATTACAAAAACTTCCTCTTCTTGCAAGGAGCAATGAGACAGTACAATTATCTGGTCACAGTGCCTATTAGTTTTGCAAGACTGTCTTGGGAGAGACTTGCAGCTATGTAGCCGTCCCTTGTCCAGGCACAGTCTAATCTGGGTCTGTCTCTTTCCGAAACGTAACACATAATGTCCTTCCTCCAGACAAGCTCTCTGAAAAGAAGAATATTGATACCAAATACATCTCTGGGACAAGAGACCATGCTGGAAGAGAGCTATGATCTGCTTAGCTGAGGGATTCTATGTATGGGATGATTCACGGATTTTGTAATATGAAAAGCAAGGTGTTTGAACTGATTTGGGAGCAAGGGACAAAGAGTCTTAATTTAAATGAATGAAAAATAATGTGTATGTTATTGATTTGTCCAGTCATTTGATCTTTTCTACACTTTCTCAGTCTCTGAGCTACCTGAACAAATCAAACTTTTCTGAATTATGTGTTAGTGAAATATTCCTTCTTATAACCCCTTAAAAATATTTTCACTGATTTAAAAACAAAGCCTTTAATAGAGCTCATTCTTTCCTGGTAACACCTTGCAAATAGATCACACCTGTGTGTTAGCAGGATAATTCATCTGCTGTACGAATTCTTCAGCATTCTTCATAGCTGCCTTTCTTTCTTGTGGGTTAGCATCTTTGCCTGGTCAAAACAGAAGTATAACAATATGGTGAGAAAGGAGAATAAGACCACAGATTCTGAAAAAGAAAGTATACAGGAAAAATCTCGGAATGAACAGGACATCCTTGAACCACGTTCTCTTCCACATTGCTTTTGCCTCAGTCTTGCACAAACACAAATGCTGGTCGGCATGAGTAACAAGATTTACACAAAGTTGAACCTTTGTGGCCAAAACATAGCATCTTAGTGGCTTAGAACATAGTTAAAAGAAAAGAAAGTGTTAATTTCTTTTTGCTTAATGTGTATGTTTCTATCAAAAAGCACTTCCTATGATATCTGCTTGGTTTAAGCTATGCATTCAGGAAGAACACCCTGGCAACCTTCTCTGAATCCTTCCTTGTTGAACTGCAACGTATTAAATAAAACTGCTGTCCAGAGCTACCTTCATCAGGCAGCACCACTGTTCTACAGTCTGAGAAGATAAAACTCTTATTTATTTACAGCTATGCTGTACAATTTATCACCACCTTCCTTCATTCATTGCTCCTTCTTCAGCCAAGGATATTAGACATCTCTGAAAGTCTCTGTGGGATGATTTTGTGCATCGGTTCTCGGTCCCAGATGGCTGCCAATGACTATACCCCAGAGACCTCTTAGTCTAATAAGATTCTCTGATAAACTATTCATTATAGTCATTTTGAATGAGACTATTAGCAAAGTAATTCACACTCCTCAGCATAGCAGTCTGAAGACTTCCAGCAGAGATGGTAACTGCAGCCTCCCATTGGCAAGACTCACAGGCTAACTTCACACTTTATTGTTATCATAAGCAGCAAAGTAAGGATGCACAGAGGAGCATGTGTGACCATATTCAGAGGACCTAAACTGTATATAAATGCCTGGTCTTGTTGGCTAGATTCTTCTAGAAGCCATCAGGCAGGCAGTGGAAAGCAGGAGTCAGGGGCTTAGGAAGAACTTAGGCCATCTGAGCACAGTGCCCAAAGAATGCTCTTTTTTAAAGGAGGCTTCCCTAACTGCAAATGAAATATTCAGGCAAAATGCTTACAGTGCTTCTTGGATTGTCTTCAAAACCTTGACAACCGCACTGATCAATTATTTGCTACTGCACATGGTAAAAAGAAATGCAAATGCCACAGCATAGTTAATAAACAGCCTCAGTCAGAGAAGAGGAGATACAACACTAGCTACAAGGAGTCCAGACCTAATTTCTCAGTAGCAGTCTTCTCCTGGGAAATGTTCAGCCAAAACAACTGCATTCATTCCTACAAGCATTGAAGATAGCACAGAGAAATGTTTGCAAGAAAAAAAGAAGCACCAAAGTATTTATAAGCTTACACTTTTAGTTAAAGCATGACACACTGAGATTGTATTAATCACTCATCTTTCACACCTCCCTGGAACAGCATATGGGACATATAATATCTACCCATTATCAAGGATTCCACTTCTAGATTTTTTCCTATAAGATAGAGGTTTGATGGTGATATATAAAATTTGTAGGATTATTTATGGTTGCTTCATAATTGCCACTCAATTATGCACTTAAGCACCCAAAATTACAGATGCCAAAAAAATACTCAGGATATTTAGACAGGACCTAATCTTGAGGCCATTATCACATAAGCAATCCCTGTGACCACATCAAGGAAGAATTGCTCAGATAACAAATTGTGTGCAAGGAAGGTACTGTCCAGACAGTATTAAATTCTTGCTAGTGTCCAGTGGGTATTGTGTGGACTTTAGATCTGTCTGTGTTCCCTGTATGTTTGCAACAGAAGTCATCTCTTACCTTTCCACACAAAGATCTTTCTTGCAGCGCCATGGTCCAAAATGAAGCACTCTTCAGATAAAAGCATAGACATAGAGAAGGGATTTTCCTCTGCTATCACTGACACCTTCATGGATCCACTTGCATCTGACACCTAAAAAAGCAATCATTTCAGATTTAGATATGTTCTACCTTTTATAAGCAAATGAATTTCCCCTCCCCAAGTTGCTACAGAAATCAGTAGCTATTCCTATACAAATGACTGTATCAAATGCATATGCTGCTGGAAAGTAATGACAGCTAATGACTTTTCTTTTCTTTTCATTTTACATGCAATAGAGGGAGATGTGGTGTTAATTTTAGTGGTTTTATTGGATCCTTGTCTCACAACTGTTTAAAATAAGTCCTTCTTCAACTCTCAGTTCAACTGCTCATTCAGTGAATTCCTCACAGTTAAAAATTCGTATTTTCTTAGGTCCACCCTATCTACTTCACTGAACTGGTGGAGCCCCTAGGCATCATCTTCTACAAAGCAACCTTAACGGAAGCCAAAGATACATTTACATGCTGAACAAGACCATTTGAAATTATGATAAAATAGTCCTACGCTGACTTCACAATCTATAGGTCTGTAACAGGAAACTGCCACGTGAGACCTATTGCAGAATCTGCTTTCTAACCTCCACCAGAACTCCCAGTTTGTTCTCACAGCTGTAAGTTCATGTAGACCTTTATAAACTTCACTTGAAACTTCAAATTCACCCCTGTATGGCTTCAAAGGCCAGCAAAATAAGTTCTTTACTATTGTGGCTTTCACTTTTCTAGCAGTCTTCACTTCCTTTCTAAATTAAATTTTCATATTAATTTTAAATATACCATTTTATCCTATATTTCATATTATGGAAATACAAGATGTAAATTACCGCTGCATATTGCAAATAAAAATAAACTGTTACGTCTACTTTGAGGACTTGCTATAAGCCTCTCTCCTGACTTTGACACTCACTGTTATAATGCAGCACATATAAAATTTGCTTAACAGACATCTGTTAGCAGCATCTGTGAACTTAAAGAAATTTACTAGACATCCACAAAATTTTCTGAGGTTTCTTATGATCCAAAATTCACGGCAAGCACTTTATGATACATTTCTAAAGTATTGTCTTATTACAACTGCACTGATCATATGTGGAAAACAACTTTTCTTTCCTCGAAATAAGCCAAACCTCCTGCTATAAAAGGTAAGAAATATATGCCAGATTTTTTGGCAAGGATGGAATCATTAATGGGAACTACACACAGCACATAGACAGCAGGGGCTAAAAGTGGCCTTGTAACCTGAATTGCCTCATATAAGTCTCTTGTAAAACACAGCCGCAAACATGGGCAGGGTCAGGATCCCTGAACAAGGCAGGGGGGAAGGTGGCAGCCCCCTGCTGCGGTCTGCAGGATGCAGAACCAGCACGGGGGGTGATTCACCCTCTCCCACACTTCACAGCAGCCTCGAGCTACTACAGACGGCACCCAAAAAGTCCCAAACAGAAGGAACCAGGAATGCTTAGTGCTGTCAGGGTGTTGCCATACTATGACTAAACTCTTTTTCTCCAAATGTGATCACAGGAAAGAGACAGTGAGTGAAAAGTCCTTTTTTATCATGCAATGCAACCACTTTGCATGAGTCAAAGCACAAAATGCTGAAGATGGGGGTCCACATTTTAATGCTGATAAGAGCTTGTTAAAAAAATACTCTTCATGCAATCTTCAGAAGAAAATAATCTTTTGGTGGGGGGACTGAGGGGAAGACTTTTCTAGCTTTTTTCTAGCTTTTTATTAAAAATATTGCCCATTGCCCCTCTTCTAAATACGTTGTTACTCCTTTTCTCAAGTGGGAGAACATGAAAGAAAGGGTGGCTGTGAAAGAAAGAGAAAATACAGGGCCAGAAATAGTTTGTTGTTTCAGTTTTGTGGCTTCTTGTTAAAAACACCAATGAAACGGAACGTCTATACGTTTCAGTTTCAAAACAGGCTTTTTTGTAAAAAGAGATCAGCTACAAAAACCTCAGTCTGCTTTGGCACTGGTAATAAAGAAAACGCTTTAGAGTCATGGTGATCTATTAAACTAAGTCACGGATTATTTGTTGAATAATGTATTGCATGAATAGCACATCAATAGTACTCAATAATTTATTTAAATTGTTATTGCTGTCATTTTTTCAGCTTAAAGAGATATGTAGACACTTTGACCATATTTGGAAAGCAAAAGCTATTCTCACCTCCTTTCTGATAGAATATCAATAATTTTTAACTACTTCCCTATCTCTATTACTTAAAAAAAAGAGAAATAGTTGTATAGACGTGTATCTAATTAATGTGTTGTTAGCTAGAAGAATGAATTATGTGCCCCTTTTAAGCAAGAACAGTATCCCTAGCATGATATGTGGACAAATCATCACTTCACTGAATGTAATCGTACAACTCCTACTGATTTAAACAGAATAAAAATTGTATCCATTTTGTTCATAGGCAATTATATGACATTGGCACTGTCCTGCTTACTGTTAAGCCATTGCAGGTGAGGAAGGACGAAAAGGCCACTGCAAAAGAAAGGAGCATGCATTCAAATTCTTCTGGGTTTTCATCAGAAAAATATTGCATAACTGTTCATCTCTCACATTCTGCTAAGAATAACTAATACATGACTACTAAAACCCTCATTTTAAAACCAAGAGGACAGGAAATGTAGTTTCATGCTAGCATATTTAGCTTGTTTCCTTAGTAAACAGGACTATAATCAGCCAAATGTCCAGTTGGTATTAAACAGAAGGATTTTTTTGTTTTACTGAGCTGTCTTGACTGACATCTCTGAGAATCTTGTCTACCGGCTGCTAATCAATTAACACAACTGGAGTTTTGTAACTGAAGCCAGAACTCCATATGCAAGGGCCCTATATGAATGATTATTGCTGAGTACACCTAACTCAAAAAAAAAAAAAAAAGCTACTTACCATATACAGTTTAGCACTTCTCCTGTTCATAATATCAGCTGTCTCATCATCATCATCACCACACTCAGGAAGCTCTGGCTTGTTTCCTAAAACCTGAACAAAAGAATAATAAATTCAATGCAAAGAGAGTCTAGGTTCTATAGTGTAAATACCTAAATAATCTCATGCATTGTTCCAGTAATCAATTAGTCTGGATCATCTCTTCTCATAATCAAATCTAAATCTAAACTCTTGGATGACTTGTTCAAAAATGTATGGGTAAATTTAAATAACTGTGTCAGATATCCAGCAGCATTATATCTACACGCTGTTTTTCCTGCAAGCATCATCTTGAAGTTGTGTTATATAGGGAAAAGCTTCAATGGAATAGATAGGTTTATATGATCATATTCTCTGTGTGTGTCTATACACCTGTCCTCTCCTTTTTTTTGAGGAACCTGTACACTTACCTGCTGGTAAGTAAAGCTTCATCTTACAATATTTGGAATGACTTTACTTGTAAAATGTTTAAACGTACTAAAATTAAAGCAGGCAAAGTGAAACAAATGGGTTGAAATTATCTTTAAAAATATTTCAATTAACAATAAAAATATTAGATTATTAGCTCAAAAATCATAAAAATTAGAGATTTTAAATCTCTTTCTAAGGAGGAAAAAATAGCTAAGTCCTTGAAAAAAGGAATTTATGGCGTAGGAAAAACATTTTCTTGCTTCGCTGCTATCAATTGCAACACTGTGCTAGTTTTACATCATAGTTTTACACCATGGATGATCTTATAACAACTTGCATTAGAAGAAATTTACAGTAGTTCATCAAAAATACATAATGGTCAGGTAGTGACTATTAGATCCTGCCTACTCACTATTAATGATAAAATCTTTCCTTACTGATTCATATATGACCAGGTCCAAATGTTTCCTACACAGTTTCATTGATTTCAATGGGACTGTGTTCCAGGGGGGAGGTAGGAGTAACTGACTAACTGACTAACTAACTATTAACCTCAAATACAAGGGAAGTAACAGCTTTCCTATTGACACAGGGCACTTGCATATGGCATGGGGCTGCCCGCAAAAACTTTGTAAACATTTGATAACAGGGAAGCCAGACAATGCGTACAGCTGCAAATCACTTGCAAGAAAAAATACAGCATAAGTATTTAACATAAATCAGTCATCTAAGGAGTATCCTGATCTGGCAAGCCAGTAAAAATACATGGCCTTGGTGAATGTAATTGTTCCAGTTTAATCTGAAATATTTTACCTGTAATTTATTGAAACCAAAAAAGTACTGCCCTGAATCTTTAAGAAAGTGCTACCAGTAGCTCTTCAATAGCCATCAGTCAGCATTTCACAGATTTACGATACATGGCTGCAGATTTACTAACGTATTGGCCAGTCAGGGCTATATTTTCACAGCTGAGTGCCACAACACTGCTGAATGACTAACTAAAAGACAACGGGAATATGTACAAATTGTCATATGTTTTCTGAAAAGTTTCCCCTACTAGCTTTTCACACTAAACATCAGCCTACATGTAAGCTGCAGAGCATCCTAGAAATTATATCTGTTGCCTTTATGATGCATGGGTCAGAAAATTGCCAAGTAACAGGCATGTTTCTTTACCTAAACACATACTGAACAGATATTGAATATAGTTGTTATAGCATGGGACTCTCAGCAAAGATCAAGAAGGTAAAAGACTCTTATTAATAAAACTTACAAAAGTCTGTAATCACTAACATTCTTACTTTGCTTTATTAGCTATTTTCAACAAAACCAGGTAGCCCATTCACACACACAAACTGTGATTCCTGACACAGATAAAGTCAGAGTTTTACCTGGCCATGTATATAGAATACCTGTGGCTCCAAAATTATTTTACAGTTTTTTTGTAAATGTAGCTTAGAGCGATATGAAATAAACCACTCTTTAAATTTCCTGCTTGTATAGGGGTCTTTGAAAACTATGTGAGTGCTACAGTGAACATTTTTAAACAAGGCTAAATTGTGACTGTCGGTGTTTATGGAAACCTATTGACAGAAGCAGCCTCTCTATTCATAGCATGGTTTAAGGGCTCCCCTCTGCTGGCAATTACCCAAGCAGGCTCTGTAATTTACAATTTTGGTTTTAAAATTGGCGCCAGCACACTTTAGTTGCTGGCCTGGCCCACTGGTATCTTAAAACTGTGATTAAAAATGGTTTTCTAAACTAAAAAGAGAATTAGCGTCAGACTTCCTAAGCCTTATCTGCATGCTGAAATGTCATAGTTCATCTGTGCTAGCACAGACAGAGGTGCCAAAGCCTCCTTTGTGCAGGCACGGTTACAGTTGTGAAATGAACTGCCCTGGACACGGCAGAGAGATTCCGGCTTTTGGGCGAATCCGCCCACAGTTTACTAACTAGCAGCTGGCACAGGGGCTTCTCTGGCGAAATCCTAGCACTGCGCTTCAGCATCAGCAAGCACGAAAGGAGCATTACTGAAAGGCTCATTTTCATAATTCGTCTGCAGTTCCTTAGAAGAGTACAAAAAGAAGCGGACAAGGACCTTGAGGATATCCCCTCTGCATTCAAAATCAGAATTGCTTATATATACCCTAGCATTTTGGTGACCTTTGTTAAGATGGGCCGAGATGTGCTTCTCCTCCTAATAGATAAAGAAATCCAAAACTTCTGGGGAGAGCCAAGCATCCAGCTCAGCTGTTGGAATAAGCCTTGAGCTGGATCACTAACAGATATACCTGTGTGTGCCAGGATAAAAAACCGAAGGTGGGACAAAATTAAAATAACCCAAGGCAAGTGAAGACACCAGCCATGGTGTGAAGCAGTGCAGCGTGAACTGTGAACTGTATATACTCTGGATATGAAGTGACAGGGTATGAGATACATACAGTCACTATGCTTTCCTAGTGCTAGGAACAATTTATGTCATTCCCCAAACGGATTAATTTCAGCCAGTTAATATGACATACAGATTGCAAGATAGGAGAGATCATAGAAATAAAAATTTTGTGCTTACACAAGGTAATTTATGCTGGGAAAAAAAAAAGTTCTTCCCTAAAGAAATTCCTTTCCAGAGAAGTCCTCTTTCTGCCTTTTCAGGCAAGCTCAGATAGTCTGGCTATTTCCACACACACTCCCACACATGTTCTGGACTTTATGATAACTGATAATTTCATCAATAAGAATACAAAGTGTATATTGAACTGTTAACTGCTATGCTGCAACTGGGTTATGTAATTACATAAGCATATGGTTGGCTAAACTGTCGCGCTACAGATTATATAGCTGATTCTCATGTGATGTATCAAAAAGAAAATTAGTCATGCCAGCTGAAGCTATAGTTAAAGGTTACCTAAGCCTGATTTTTCAGCAGGGTTATGCAATAAAGTGACTTAAATCAAGGACACTGCATATTATGATTGTTATCTGCATACGTTCAGCTTCACAGAAAGCCTATGGCAGCTAGGTATGTGGGACCTTGCTCTTCAGAGCTTTCCTGACTCAGGCAGCTGGCCAGCCTGCTCTCTTGGGTCTTCATGTCTTTGGGCCAGGTGTACTGGCAGCCCTGGGCTGGGCTCTCCTGGGCTGCCCAGAGGGTGCAGGACACTGAGGAGCACCACCTTCCAAAAATTCAGACTCACAGATCCAACCTACACAAACTTGAGAATGACTATGGTCTCTCTGCAGGACACAAAATGGCTTAGACACATTTCCTCCCAGACTTCCAACCATGTAGGTGACTCTAGACCATACCTCTTGCAAACATACAGGTGCACACTCAGGTTTTGCAGCCTTTTTTTTTTTCTTTTTTACCTACTGCACTAGGAACACACATATCTAAAGAATAATCAGGAACACAGAAAGCGTATCCTTGCCACAGCTTCTCCATTCTTTGGGCTTTGCATCTTTCTCTGCAGTCCCCAGTTTGGCTTCTGAACCAGAGAGACTCTTCATGTCCATTCACCTTTTATGTTATTCACTGATTAAATGTCAAACCAGCCTTCATCCTCTATCACTCAGTCACAGAATTATGCTTGTCCTCTCCTGACCATTGCTTCCTCTGCACATATTTATGAGAGTCTTGAAGAAAAGCTTGAGCAACTCTAAGCTCAGCTAAGGTCCAAATAAACGTTATTGCAGCTGTTCTGCTGTAACTGCCTGCGTGCACACTCTAACCTTACAGTACAGGTGAGGTTGCTTAATCCCAGCCCTTTGAGAGTTAAGCTACTTCACAGTTATTTCAGAATAAAACATACCCAGAGAAGACTACTGGAGAGCTTTGCTTGTCTTACACGGCTATAGCCTAGCAGCATCTGACTGGGGAGTTAACATGTTTTATTCAAAGTATTCATTAACTCCACACCTTGCACCTTGTCTATTAGGGGGATACTCAAGGAAGTTAATCTGCATTAATTTTAAAAGTTGTCTTAATAAGTTCTGTTAAAACTTTTTGTTGACGCTCTTAGTTTAGTGCAAGGATGCCATACATATAACCGAAAGAACATCAGTTCCTCTACAATAACTGCCTGAGTTCGCTCTTGTGGCAAATGCTAGGTGGCTTATCTCACCTGCCAAAACCATAATCCACTTTCAACTTGCTGCGTGCACAAGCTCTTTTCTGCACATATCTGCACCCTTCTCAAAGAAATGCAAAATACAAAGTCAAAGCTTTTCCTGATAAGTTAAATTCAACTCCCTCTCCCTCAAAAAGAATAGAAGAAATTGCAAACAGACTAAAAGTTACTAACCTATAGGGATATGACAATGTAAATAATCATAAATAAACACCTCTCAAAAGAAAAAATTCAGCAAATTTCATTTTCATAACTGGAGAAGCCAGCCTTGCATCATAAAGTAGTTGACATTGATATCGATTTTATGGGAGCAAAAAGTTTAAGGAGTTTGGTGAGGCTAAAAGACAGATTAGGAAAACAACACTTGAAGAACATGTCAGGTGAAGGTTAATTAAGGCAATCTGCCAGCAGAAAACCAGTTTCATAGTTTAACTTGTGTATACTAGCACTATGTTTGTGTTTCTCCTTACTATACATAACTTGGGTTAGGTTTCTGGGTCTGAAACTGAACTATTT